TCAAGATTCAATTAGCTGAACTGCAACTCAATTCGTAAAATGGGTAAGTCGAAATCATTCTGTAACTGTACGTTTTCCACTTGCACGGCGCCTAACGTACTTTTATGGTTGACATTCGTCGTCGAATGTGGAGTCTCTGTGCCGGCACAATAGTTTGCACCCAGGACCGAGATTTCACGGGCATGCATCCTTACCTAATTTTAATTGTTTGTATGTTATTGTCTCTTCATTAAAGTATGTCTACGACCGTCCATGATTTCGGCATGCCCTTATTGGCTCGATGTTTCCAAGACATAACCTCACCGTCATAGGCTGTGATGTGATGCTGCAGGCGTGCTGGTCTTGTCTCATTCTGAATCTCAACAATTCTCCGTGTCAAACAGTTCCCTTTGCTCTTGTGGCGTTTTATAATTGCGGAACGTCGTCTCCGTCTATTCCTGTAGAGAGAACTAAACTATTTTCGCCCAGTTCGTCTCGCGTCTGCCTAATGGCTTGGCATTCCCTCCCTTCACACAAATACGTTTTGTTGTTCTCTGTCGAGTCACGATTTCTGTCGTGGGGCATTTCAGCATCTTATCTCGATTTTAACATTCATGGTTTACTCATACTTTCTGTACAGATTTTGTTTAAATGTCAAGCTGGGTTGTAACTTGTCTCGTTTTCTGTCTTTATTTCTTTAGCTCGTCCATCTCCACAGCAGTGGGCAGAGCTGCTCCGCTTAATTAGTCAAGACAAAGAGCTGCTGCATGGTCAATTCTTGGGACCAAATGGTCTTGTCCGAACCCGTCAGAAGTGGGCTGCGATAGCTGACAAAGTCAACACTGTGGCCGGCGCCACTGTTCAAAAGGATGGTGACCAGTGGAAGTTGGTATGTATTTTATTTAATAGTAATTGTTTACTACTACAACCAAAATCTTTTCTTCACTTTTTTTCTTGACCCCTTAGATCAAGTTCTCCAGCCAGTTTCAAATTGACACTTGATGTGCATAATATTTATTTTGGTATTATCTTTCTCTTGATGAAGCCGGAGTATTGTACTTGTCTAATAATTCTGTTGCAGGCTTGGATGGGTGTAAAAACCCGTGCTCGTGCTAGCCTGAGATCCATGGCTGCGTACAGGAATGGGACAGGTGGCGGCCCAGATGTTGAAATTGCAGGGCTCGGCCTTAGTGAGCTCCATGAGAAGGTGCTGAATCTTACAGGAATCACAGCTGCGATTGGCACCAGCTGTCCTGATCCCTTACAGGTTTGTTTCTGTTATAGATTCATAAAATTTTTCGTAATATTTTCTATATTCCTTATCAGTGTAAATCTTTACAGATTCAATTACAGGTGGCACGTGCCCCTCCAAATCAATTGGTTGACCAGCAGGTTGGTTAAATAACTTATGTTGGTTGATATGATGCATTAGGCCTGTGCTTGTTGCCAATGTTGAACACCTCATTTCCAGATTTACATCAGCGACCTTGAGCAGGACAAAAGTGTTGAGGCGGAGATAGAAATTCCGGATGCTGACGAATTGCTGAATATGTTTGTATTGCATGAGGGGCAAGTGGGCAATCCGCAGGTACAGTACTGTGTGCTGTCATTCTAGCATTAACTGCTCAAAATATGACAGCTACTTTGTCCTTCCTTCACGCAACTATATTTTCCTTTTTCTATTTCAGGTTTCTCACGAGTTAAAAGTTTTGCACACCCCGCCTAGGGATTTGGGACTGACCCCTTCTGCAAAGAAGGCTAACCAGTCAATAACACCTGAAATTATCACCCTACCTGATGTAAGTGACACTTACAGGAGTCAGTTGTGAGCACCTCACATTGCAGTAAATATTGGTCTGACATATATCTCTTCTTACTAATTTCAGACTCCACAAATGCCAGAGGACAGAGTACGCACCTGCAGGGGGAGGTTGCCTGAACAACCAGAGGGTGTAAAGGATGGTCACAATATTGGTAAGATATTTTTTCTTTACCCCTTTTTCTTTTTGACCATTTGGCTGAATGCCTTTGTGCTGACAAAATGTGCTTCTTGTTCTCAGGTATAAATGTTTTGAAGAAGGAACTGTGCGCTGGTCTAAAACTTAACTTACAAATGTTGAGTGAAGTGATGGGAGCAGTCAGTTTGATCCTTCATCGTTGAATCCTCACCTTTGCATAGTGCTCCTTAATTTCACTTTTTTGTTTGTTGCTTGTCTGAATTCATGACTCATGGTTTTTGTTTGTGTTGTAAGTTCCTCTATAAACATCCAGAAGGGTCTTGCCCAGACTGATCTAGGATTTGTAGGTCTTTTTGATGTGGTTATAGTGCTATTCTTGGTTTGCAATTTCTTCCTTTTGTTTAATTTTATGTTCATAAGGAGGCGAAAATGTACTTCTAATTATGATTCTTTTGTTTGTGAAATAATTTTAAATTTTCAGCAAGAAGCACGTAGTAATGTATCCCACTGCCCTCGGTAACAAATAAATACAATTTCACTTTATATTGTCTTTTATTTTGTTCAATTTGTCAAGCACAAAGTAATGAGAATCAGTACCAGCAGGTCCCATTTTCAAATTGCACATACTTTCAAAGAAGTTTAGCATATGCTGTCTAAACCTACTTAATGTTTGCACAGCATATAATTTGGTGTACACAAAATAGCAAACAATTGTGACCACATAGGAAAAATTTTCAACCAAAATTTTATGGAGCCTTATTTTCATGAGTTGAGTTCATATTTAGTTTCTCTGCCAATCATTAAGCAAAGACAAGGCATCAGAATCCACATTTAACTCTCTGGGTTCATGGTTTAGATAGCTTGATTGAACCCAAATCAGAAACAGCTGTCACTTATATAGCTTCAAACAGAAATATTCCTTATTACAATATTCAATTTTTTATTTAACCTGGCTGATAGGAAACCACAACACTTTTTCTTTGAATCAGTTTGTACATTTATCTTAGACTTATGGACAAGTGTGTTAACACTGTTTTTGAACAGCTATGTGGTCAGGGACTTAAGGGGTTGAAGTGAGAATGCAATCCTAAACCATACCATCAGCAAGTTGAAAACAATTTTGATAGTTCAAGTAGTATTGAAATAACATCTCTCACATTTTTCTGAGCAACAATCTAAGTTAAGTGGATCCTGAGAAATGCCAACATTTGTGCATTTTTTTATCAAACTTTTCCGGAACTTCACACGATGAACTTTTAGTTTCAAAAAAGCCAACCTACGCTTAAAAAGAACCCAAGCAGGTGATTAGGTACAAACATATGTTGCCATATTTTAGGTTTTCTTGTAAATTGTAGGTGAAACTGGCATATTAAAATTGTATTCAAACAAATCCCCCCCCCCCACAAAAAAAAACATCCCATTTGTTACATATGAGTATGAACAAAATTAAGATAGGAGTATGAACAAAATTAAAAATTTTGGCAACATACAATTGAACCTAGTCCCCTTATGATTATTTTAAGCCTAAGTTGGCTACTATGTAACAAAAAGTTCATCGTGTGAGGTTCCAGCAAATTTATAAGGAAAGTCATGTCAGAGGCATCCTCGCAAGGTACAATTTGATAACTGAAATGTTTCTTTCTTTTCATGGTAGGGTGCACCCATTAAAGAGACCATACTAAAGAATGAGTAGAAATACTTTGATAAAAATATAAAAATGTGTTGAAAATCATACTTTATAAAACTCAGTAAAGTAAATTGTACCCGGATGAAATGAACAAAGCAAAGTAAATATGTGGGCTGGATTTCCTAGCATCTACATATAAAACAGAGGAAAAGAACCAAAAACACTTACATCTAATTTTACAGTCTGTACAAAAATACTTCTGCATGCAATATGGACATGGAGTTCTATTACTTACTTCAGAAAGGTGCAAGATTTTCATACTAAAGATAGGTGGTTAAATCTCTACAACGCATGCACAATGTTATTACGATCATTATTAAGCCTTTGGTTGGCAAAGTTAATCAGATACTGCATCTCTGCAATACCTCTTTGTTCAACATCCAATGGAAGGTCAGGCAGTGGCTCAATATCAACATTATCATCGTCATTGTTATTCTCCAACAAAGGGGGTGGTACGGGAACCCTTCTAGCATTACAAAAGTTATGCAATACACAGCAGGCATTGAAAATTTTTCCTGCATAGGTTGCATTTTTGTAGTTGATGGATCGGTCAATACTTAGCAACCTCCACCGACTTTTTAAAACTCCAATGCATCTCTCTACCACATTGCGGCAGTGGCAGTGGAATAATGTGTAGTAATACTCAGGGGTTCCTGGTTCAGCATGTAAAATGGGGACGTGGAGCCAGGGGGCAGTAAAGTATCCATTATCACCTATAGACAGAAAAGGGGATTTACAAACATACTGAAAACACAGATTTGAGGTGATGTATTAGTATGCTCTTACCAAGCAGCCAGCATCGGTCTTCCCAGTAAGCCTGTTCAACAACATCCCTTGCTGCACTTGCCTGCCAAATTAAGTTATCCGTTAAAGAACCAGGCCACCTTGCGTCTACATTGAGAATGTTGAGGTCTCCATCACAAATCTGGAAAAGAATGAGTAACAAATGATTCTATTAGGGAAGCAGAAGTAGGAGGAATTTCTAAATCTTTCAGCACTGAAAATCCCAAACTGGTGAAAATCACTTTTCATTCACAAAAATATTATGGAGCAGAGCAGTAGTTGCCTGATAATTTAAAGAATAATCTGAGAATAACCTCTGGTTCTTTGACTCTCATTTAAAGGGGCTTTTATCTCCCAAAATACATTTTTGGTACATTTGTGAAGAAAATTAGTTTCTGAGCCACTGTAGGGTGTAGCCTGAGGGTATATTTTTCAACACAAGGGATGGCTTAACACATTAACAATATCAGAATGTCATGAACTTTACTCTAAAGAGGCCCAAGTGTGTACTGCTATTTTTTATAGGATATCTTCTTTTTAAGTTTACACGCAGGATTCCTCCGGAGAAAGTGGTGATAAAAAACTGGTCAATAGCTTTGAAGTAAAGTTCATGGCATTCTGATATTGTCAATATGTTAAGCCATCCCTTGTGTTGAGAAATATACCCTCAGGCTACACCCTGCTACAGTGGCTCAAACTAATTTTCTTCACAAATGTACCAAAAATGTATGTTGGAAGGTAAAAGCCCCCTTGACAAAGAAACAACAGAAAAACATACATTTTTGGCAAACTGTGTTGATTGCGTGACTTAAATTTCTTTGTCCCAAAAACTTGTACAGAAAAGTAGGTATTTTTATGCACATATTTGGTTCTTCCATAGCAATTATTTTGAATTGAAAGCAGCATTTGAGAATTTGTTTCTCTGTTTAATGAGATGCAGACAAACAAAAGTTAATGCCAAAAATGATTTCTTGTAAAAGTACTCACTAGCTGGGTGTTTAGGGCAAGAAATCCTTTCCTACAATAGAATGACTGCCTCTCTGCATCACGAGGGAGATAGGAGAGCCTCATCAATGAGCCATCAATGAAACCCAGCACCCTAGGCATGCCCAATAACTGCTCATTTCTGAAATAAAACGTAGGAGTACGTGCAGCAGCCCGTAGTGGCTGAGCTTTAGTCGTTAGTGTGCTAAAATTCTCAAATGTAACGGTTAAAGGAATATAGTAATAGTAATGTACAGATGGAAGGCCAGGGAAGAACAGGA